AAGGAAGTTGGATTTTTTTAGTAGATTTTAAACCAGCAGCAAGTAGAAAGAGATAGAAAGGCAGCTTGTGCCATTCCACAACACTGTCATAGAAGACTGTACTTCAAACACTTGACCTGGCTTTTTCCTCTCCGTAATGAAATGGCTCAAAAACATTGTTTACTGCTTTATGTATTCATAGTAACTCTAAGCTGTTGCTCTGCTCTGAAGCACAAAATGCCCTCAATGTGGTATGTTGTTTGAAAATAATATATTAAGCTTCTCAGGAAGATCTGGCACAATGACTTTTAGCTGGTGTGTCTGTAAAGTGTTCACAGAGAACAGTTTTTCTCTTAATATCTGTGCCAAATTGGAAGATAACCACAAGCAAAGGAAAAAACTTCCTTGCTAGAAGGGAAAAAATAAGACAAAAGAAAAAACAAATCCATTTTCTTATGCTTGCAATGGACTTGTTCCTGTTGCACTACCAGCAACAACTGTGTAATAATACAGTGGCTGCTCCAAAAGCATTTGTATGATGCTCAAGTATCTACAGCAGCACCTCTTTAATCTCATAAAGATTTTAGCATGCCCTGCCACCTGTATTACTTTTATAATGTAAACTAGTGACTCAAGGCAAGTGTTTTCTGGTAACTGTGTACATAATAAAACATACTTTGTTTTGTAAATGAGCATTTCACAAAGGAGCTTATTGTCCTAGTTTCTATAATTTTGAGGTTAGGCCAGAACTTTAATAGAATATATAGGTACACTTGAGCCTGAAAGTGTTGGGAGAAAAAAAAAAAAGCCTGTATCAGCAAGCCAAACAGGCAAATAAAATACAGCATTCCCACTCTGCATTTCCACACAGGTAAAAATGAAGGAAGTGTTATGAATTACCAAGTTTTGAAGGATCTGTATCTGCATCTACAAGTTCATCTCAGTTAATTTTTCTTTTAGCAGACTCAGCACTGCTCACTTTATTGCCTTTCACTTAGTTTAAAAGTCTTGTTGAAATTAATGGAAAGACTGTAGGACTCCTAAAACAGTCCCCGTTCTTGTAATTTAATCCACTAAAGAGTTATAGTGTACTTCTGGATACAACAAGCCTTCAGGGAAATAAATGGTAATTAAGACAATTATGCCACAAGGAATCATGGCTACTTATTAAGTAGCTGTGTTTTGCTGGGTGGCCTTCAGCTTGCACTCAAAGAGCTTACATTGCACACAATGTTTGCATTGCCCTGGAGCAGCAGTAGCAACTTCACACATCTTTGTCACTTGAAATATAGAACATGGCAAACTTAAAATTGTTATTTAATGCGTGTCTTGATAGTAACACTGATTGCAAATTTTGCATAAAGCATATACAAAAATGCAAAATTCCGCCTTGTTGTAGTCAGTGTTTAAAACTCTGCTCTCTTCAGGGTGGTAGTATTTTGTAAAGCTGGCAGATTTAAGTTTCTGCTTACAATTGGCAAGTCACAGTGAACAGTGAACCCCAATCTAAAGTGTCAGTGAAATTTCAGTGTTGACTGTGCAGCTGATCCATTCTCTTATGCTTGCTATGGACCTGTTCCTGTTGCACTACCAGCAACAACTGTAATAATACAGTGGCTGCTCCAAAAGTATTGTTTTGTGTGTTATTCTGTTGACCCACGATGTCAGAGGTGGATGTTGATTGGTTAAACCTTCCCACCAATTCTCCATTACATGTTGTTGCAATGTAACAGATAGCAACAGAGGAGCAGTCTGACAAAATTGGGTCTGAGACGAAAATCTCTGTTCCTGAAAAATCTAAATATCACAAGAGGTTGTAAACTTCAGTAGATGGTTACTTAGAGGAAGTAGAAGTGCAGAATCCACTTAAATCCTAAAAACGGGTTGGTTCAGTGAACTTGTTTGTCTAATCATGTTTAAGCATGGCATAAATGCACTATTCAGTGTAACCACTGTTTCTACATAGTGTATCACAGTCCCTACATAGAACTTGCAAAGAGAAAATACATCTTAATAGTGTGCAGTACTTACATACATTTCCATATTTCTCTGAATAGCTGCCAGGCACCTTATTTACCTTTATTCTGCAGTTACTATCATGTGTACATAAGTAATTTGTCACCCTCTACATTAGCAACAGTGCATCACATCTGACATAGAAATGAGTGCAGTGGGCTTTATATACCAATCCCCTGTTTGAAGGTTCGATTCATTTTCTTACCTTTGGTCTCGGGAGGACTAGAGGTACAATGCAAAGGCTTTAAAACATTTTTTAATTAGCATTTCAAATGAAGTCTTTAACACATCATGCTTCAAGCACCAGTACAAGAATCGAAAGAAAAAGCGGGTGAAAATGGCAATTACTCTTTCCTAACAACTGCAAAGGATGTTATCACCGCTACAGATATTAAAGTCATTTACTTGCCAGCACCAAATAAAAAGCTGTATGTAATTAAAACATATGGCTGGCATTAACTGAAAAAGGGACAGGAAATTGAACATTAAAGGTGACTCTGCCCTTAATTTGCTGTATTGCTTGGGGAGAGAGGAGATTGTATTGAAGTGTTCTGAGAGAGAGAGACGCCGACAACCTTATCTTAGAATTTCCTACCTTTTGTCAGTTTGTCAGTTACCATTATAACCTGATTACTCAAGTGTTTCCAAAAAAAAAAAAAAAAAAAAAAACCTGATGAAGGGTTGTAAAACATGATCAGTGGCTCTTAAAAAGTGTAACTGTTTTAGATGTTAATTCTTCAGCATAATGAGTCCATTTCCTCTGCTCTGTATATTTTTGCTATTAAAGTCAGTGGAAATTTCCATCCTTCGAGTTTTATTTCTGCAAGCTAATTACTGGAAGCATTTTCACAATTCTGTTTAAATAGAAGTTCTGGATTGTCTTTTCAGAACGTGTACCAGATTAGCTCTTCTGACTGCCTGTATGGAGCTACTTCCATTTATAATAAGTGAAGGGCTGACAAATCAGGTTTGTGGTTTGCTTCATGCAATGCCAGTGATCTTTTCAATTCTGCCATTCTTTGTGCTAGTTGTTAAATACATCTCTTGAATCTACTATCCTTGCCTAACAATCATAAATCCTAATCACAGATATTTTACTATCCTTACATTTAGTATGAGCCGTATGCTTTTTTCACTGTTAGGAACTCCTTGACAGCTTATGAAGTTTCCATATTATAAAGTCAGAAGGGCGAACTATTATCTAACCATTTTATAAACTGTGGGCTTCTCAGTTTAATGAAAACATCAGTTCTTTAAATAAATACACATTCTGCAACAAATGTATTAAAAAGGGATCCAGTTCTGTAGGCTTTTTCTGAAGTGATCCCCATTACAATATTTGAGGGAAAAAACTCTCGTCTATTAACATAAATTTATAAAGCCTTGCTATCTGATTGTTTTAGAAATACATATTTCTAACAGTTTAGGGTTATGTTTCTATGATCTTACCATTTTGAATACAATTCCTTGTCAATTTATTTAATATCACCTTAGGCTTAAATTGAGATGACCATGTAAAGTAAGTAATCAATGAATAAGTTTGTATTTCTGTGGGACTGCATGAATAGCTGAAGCTTTGCTTTTTGGAAATTCATTTCCTTTTCTTTTATTATGCTTAGTACTGAATGATGCTAAATCCTAGCTTGGTATTCCAGACCATGAGATGCTGACGACATCCTACTTTCAGGCAGCTAAGACAAATACTTCCCTATGCCTTTCAAAAACATAAACCAAAATAGGCATATTTTTCAGGCTCCCTTAACAGAGCTCAGTATATTCTCCTGATTTTTGGCTTATTGTTTTGTCCTTGATTAGATTCTTTTCTCTGGCTCAGTAACTTGGTTGGTAGCTTAGATTCCTGAAAACTCAACCAGCAACTAAATATGCACTTGAAAATTTAATGTGCAAATAAGAGCCATTTTAGTACTCCATAGACTATATTTTAAGCTGTCCCTGTATTTTCAATTTCAAGGACCACCATTTTTCAGTTTCAGTGTTAGCAGCCCATTAAGATGAAAGGAAAAAATCAATTATTTGGTTTCTCTGTCAAAACCTTGATGCACTCTGATGAACATCAGCACTATGTAATTTGCAATCAGGTCAGATTTTCAACTTCGAAAGTCTGAATTTGAACATCTGATCTCTCTAATTGGTAAAGGGCAGCATTCACTGTAGTTCATTTCCATAAGCTCAAAACCTTTGTAATTTATAAACTGTCTAACTGAAAGCTGGGATAACAAATCTGAGGGAATTCAAAAAATAAGTAATTTTCCACCAACATGTAATATTCTGGACCCTGCCAATGAAGATGATTCTCAGTATACTGTATTCATCATTTCCATGTTTTCTGCTACTTTGCTCTGGTTATAGTTTATGGTTTTGATTTATAACAATACAGAGACAACAGTGCAGTTGGAACTTAACTAAGCTTTTTCTATGAAACTAATTATCCTTGAATGCATAAGATTACAATACAAACAACATGACCACCTCTAGTTAATGTTTGACTAAAATTAAAGTGAATTTACTGCACCTGTAGGGTACTAGCACAAAAAGCCCAAAGTCTCAGACTATCCGTTATTTGCAAAATTGGTACAGTGAAAATAACCACACTGAAAATTGTTCCCAGTCTATCACTTTTAAAGAAATAACACATTTGTTTGGGTTCTTTCTTCTGTGACCCTTCATTATTATATTGAAATCGCACATTTGAGTATTCAGTCCCAAGATTTCATATAATTAATTGTTATCATCCCAATATTTTCTAACACCAATTCATTGAGTGAGTGTCAGTTACTAGTTGGAGACAACTATGAATCATCAGTTGATGGACAGGCTCTGTCTAGCTGACTGAAAATCTCTTTTTCCAGGAACTAACCTTCCTGCTCTGGTAAGAGTAGCTGTTCGTTTGCTTATTATCTCTTCAGCTGTCTGTTAAAGACTGAGATTTATCTCTGCTATTGTCTCTTTCTTCTTTCCCTCCTTTCCTCCTTCCCTTCATACAGAAAAATCCGTAAGAAGTTTACCAAGTTGCAGCTGAAAAGAGCTTCCAGAACACCTTGTTCTCCAATTCTTGTGAAGACAAAATCTCTCATGAACAATAGGCAGGCACGAATAGAGCCGAGAACCATCACGCATTGAAGACACAACAGCATCAGCAACATAATTATGTTAAAATCTTGTTTAATTGTGAACACAGATACAACGTGACCTTCCACATCTTCAGGACCTATATGGACACTGTGGCTGGGTTCTGTGTTCTGGTCAGGATCCAACAGTAGCCCTTGTTCTCCTTTGTCTCTGTAAGGGCTACTTAAGGTTTGCTGTGCAGGCCTATTGATGATTGTCCTGCTATCTCCCCCACTTCCCCTCATCACACTTGGATGGTCAGAGAGGGACTATTCATACTGACCGCAAGGAAGAAATATGGATGCGGTGTACCCCTCACAATTTTGTCTATGCCTTCTAGTGGTGTGATACAGAAATAAGCACCTTTAAAAACAATTGCAGTGTCTTTGTAACAGGATTTAGCCTATAGGAGTCAGCATCTTCAAAAAGTGCTGCAGACTTCAAATGTTTGAATTTTTTAATATTGGCTTGAATCACTTTGGATTTGATTTTCTGATCTGCTGAGCAACCAGAAGCTGGAATGAGGAGTTGTTCAGCACTTCTGAAACTTGAACCAAATTAGGTAGTGCTCAGAATTAGTGGCCCATTTTAAAATGCTGACCATATTAACTTTGGTTAAAATCCTAGAAAGTATCATGTGTGGCCATGACCATCTGGCTGGTATGGTTATCTATATATTTGCAAGCATCCACCTATTTGTTTGGGGATTTTTAGCATTTCTTGAAGTCTATTTTGAACAGTCAAAGCCAGCAGAATGCCATTCCCAGGAAAACATGAGGAAATAAGAGTATTTCCTATTAGCAATGACTCTCCACTAAATAATTACTACATTTTTATACTTATGGACAAGAAAGTTGTCTTGCTGCAGAATGCTTTGAAATTCATACTTGTAAGGCTACAGGTGGAGACTTACCATGGAGAGATGATGTGCCTTTTGTAACTACTTGTAGGAAGCTGTCAGTCCCCCTGAAAGTGGGAATGGCAACAGAGGCAGGTCTTTTTTCTACTCAGGTACTTACAGGTGAATAATCTCTGCCCTACTTTGAGATCGAGAGGCAAGCAGTGTGTAGCACTGCTGTGTAAACCTAAGCTGAGATATACTGATTATCTTAAGCAAGGTATGTCTTTCAATAGATTTTGTTTCCATATGCCTTTTAACAGATAGTCAGACACTGAACGCATCACTATAAGCTGGAATAAACTTCAAGATGTTTTTTCTAGTTCTTTACTAGGTAACTCTAGCGGCACTGTATTATCTGGCTATGGATATATGCCCAGCTCTGTGGTAAGAAAGATGAAGGTGTAAGTAGTATCTCATACCTCTTGGTGATTCCCCCCCTTCCCCTTCCTGAAATATACACCCCACGCTATTTACAGTTTCAGTCTGAAAGATCATCTGTGATACCAGCCTGTAACTAGCCATGCTGACCATGTCAGATTTTGAACACTTGAGACAGTCACCCAGACGCTTCCTTGAGAAAGAAAGCACACTGACCTTCTGAAGGAACTTGATTTTACAGAGTGACGGATCCAGGTCTTGTCCACTGTCCTTCACCAGCAAGCGAAGGGTGAGTAAGGAGGAGAGATTTGGACCTGAAATGTTTCTAGTACCCTGAGCACCCTACTGAATGTCACTGATTGGGAATCAATTGGAGAAGACCTGGGATTCATCCGCTTACAGATTTTTTTCCAGGAGCCACTGAAGTGTGCAGCCCTGGGATTCTCTTCTATCCACACAATCTGCTTTTTCCTCACAACAGGAGAGTATTTCATCAGATACTGAACAGCCACAACCCATTCTTATTAGAAAGAATTGCCTTTATTAACTGCGACATATGGAAACACCTTCTGCATAATAGCTTTCTCACCCATTAAAATAAAGAAAGCATGATTACTCAGCAATCTATTTGACTGAAAGTATGAAAAACATAAGCAGAAAGTGCTTTGCCTCCCTCAGGCACCCCTGAAATCACACACAACAGACTCATTTTCAAAGTGTCTTTTGCTGTAAGGTGATGGATATCTTTTTTTACCCTGCCTTATTAAGCCTGTACTCGAATTATTTCAGTCAGTGTGCTACAGTATCTAGCCAGTATTCTGTAAAATCCTCGTGTGTTTCTGCCTTTGACAAAAGTATTAGTATTTGTAACAGTCCCTTGTGACATCATTTTTTTTTCTGTCCCTCTGAGGAGTGAGAGATTCATAACGACTCCCTGTTATGCAGCTTGATGCAACTTAACATATTCTGCATCAAGCATCCAAGGTAAGGAAGAGTTCTCCCTTGCAGCTTCAAGCCAAGGGAATTCATCAGGAAGCAGTAGAAGTAATGCTGTGACCCTGCCTGGCAAAGTTGTGCCACTGGTCACAATAGCCAACAGCCAACACTTGCAGAGGTTTAACGCAGTGGAGACTGTTCACTGATATAACACTGATATAACCATCCTCAAACTGCTTTGCATGCAGCTGCATGGAGACCTTCCTTCCTCTAAAATGCACACAGTGCACAGAGAAACTGCACGCCGCGTATCGCACCTTTGTCTTTACATGCTCTCTCTCAATCTTACCCTTCCTGTGAGATGTTCTCCAGGGATGGATACAGAATTTACCTGTGAATTTCAACAGAAAGCAATGATGGAAGATTAGGTGAAAATATGTTCCCGCTTCATTTGATTTCTGTAGAAATTGTGACAGTTCTTTCCGCAGCATCTCGCAATTCCATGCTGTCTGATGAGTTGAATTTTGTTTTTTGTTTCCTGCTGACCTTGAGCGAAGATGGCACATTCCTGTGTAAGTTATAACAGTACTGTTTTTATCAAGCTTCTCAAGCTAGTTATTTTAAACCTAGCTAACATATCTCAGTCATCAACAATGACACTGAGTATAAACATATGCCTCAGAAGAAAGGACAAGACATTTGGTTCTTAACATGGATGTGAGCAAGAAAATCTAGGCAGCTTCAGTACTGTGTTTGCAATATGATTTATTTTCTTGTTAGCTAAATAAGAAAGCTATCTGAAAAACCACCTCTCCCTTTACAACTACAGAGTTCAAAAACCATGCAAAATACATGCTCATTTTTTTGTCCAGAGGTCTCATATAAAGAGGAAGAAGATTTTGTTAAAATTCAAATGTCCATGTTACCAATTTCAAGTATGTAGCTAATCTGCAGTCTTGAAATATTTAGTATATTTTTTTAGATTATTTTTCAAGGTTATGACTTGGTCAAGGAAGCTTTGGTTATGTAGGATGGAAAAATGAGATCTGGGAATACTTGAAATACATTGGCGACATTCCAACTACATCCTGAATTGGTTTTTTATTTTGATCAAAAGCAAATATTTGTTTCTGTAGTTCAAAACTTACAGCATGGTACAAGAAAATGGGGATTAAAAATGAAAAGAACGAATGAGTAGAAAAAGAATGAACCAGAGTCGGCACTTACAAGATGCGCACCTTTTATTAAACTGAAGCAAGCCCTTTTTTTTTAATAAATATCATTTTAACCTAGGCACTTTCCTAATTATAAAGTTACAGATAAAGTGGAATGGCTGCGTAGTAGTTTCTGGTATAGTCACAGCATTATATCCTACAGCCTTGTGTAGAGAACAATTATACTCCTTCTGAAATATTATATTGCAAAATACAATATTGTAGACACAGTGCATTTGTATATGTGCAATGCTGTGGTAATGGAAGTCTGTTAGAATCCTCTGGAAATGTCAGCAAAAATATTTTTGTTTTACGTTTCTTCTTGAAGGTCTTTTATGTAAACCCGTGTCTTCATAAACCAGAGTGGGTGTCGAAAGTTTATATAACTGCAGAGTGGAATTTTTTGGAGTAAGTCAGGACTTTTTTATTCAAATGTTGCATGTAGAGGGAGGAAACCTAATTTTGGAATACATGAGTTTTGGGTAAGAGTTTTCAGATTGTACTATGCAATGATCAACACAGATTTGCAGAGTATGCTCCTGTTGCTCATAAAGGCTTAACAGTTGTTACTGAAATACAGTATTGAAAATTAAAAAGAGAAGCATAAAAAGCTGTCATTTTTAGAATTCTTTAAATTCTTTAGATTGCAAGTGAATTTCTCAAAGGAATGGTAAAACTGGGAGGATCAATGCTGAATATTTGAGGATGTGGAGCACCTTAGAATGAAATATATTACTGTCTGATTTGCATTAAAGTGTCTTTGTGCACAAGCTTTATGACTCTTGGTCCTTTTTGCAGGAAAAAAATTTATGCATTGACACTATCTTACAGGCTGTTCAGTAAACAACAAACTGAAATGTGATGAACTTTTAAAACTGCACTGGTGTTAAAGACACAAATACTTGTCTGTGGATAAAGAGAAAAGATTCAGAAGGCAGAGAGAAAGAGAAACATGAGGTATTGTTTATTGTTCATTGTATTGGAACTAGAAAAATGGTTTGAACCAGGTTTGAACTGAAATCTAGGTAAAAGGACTGTTACTAGAAGATACAGTGTACATTACAGTCTTCAGTGCATTGACATTGGCATCCAAACTTTGCAAGTCAGTATTAGTGTCAAAAAATTACACTGCTTTCAATTTGGTTGCACTTAGAACTGGTGACTTCTATGAGAATATGGGATATAAACTGGATAGTTTTCTTTACTAACGTGCAAAACAATTTCCTCAGTTATGGTGGATAGGTGTTGTTTTGTTGTTTTTTTGTTTTGTTTTGGTTTGTTTTTTTGCAGAGGAGGAGATGCACACACTGGAATTCTAACAGGACTGCTGCTTCACAGGTTTGTCCAAGGCAATTCTTTCCATCTCGTAATTGCCCCATCTATCCTGGAGGCATCTGTAAATTTTGTTTCAAGTGCTTGCATTAGAATGGATATTCTTTGTCATCCTCTCCTGCCAAGAGGCGTAGGCAGATTCCAAGTCCAAGTATGGTGTTTGGGTTTATTTGGGATGATAAATTACATATATCAATTCTTCTGGGTAAGCAACAATGGTAGTGAGGAGGAGATGATCTCTGGATATAGTTCTTCGCTGGGGTTGCTGGGAAAATTGGCATCTTTTTAACCAAGCTAGGAATAAGCCACAATCAAAAAGCAGGAGGTCTGAGATGCTCATCTGTTCCACTAGTGCAGATTTTTATGAGCCCATCATGCAGGCTCTAGTTCATAACTGGTGAAAATGCATAGCTAATGAAAAAAACACTATGAAAAATAGTGTTTTGTAGCTGAGAATTTGCTCTATCAAATAGATGTTATTGTGCTCTTTGTGGCTGCTGTAGTTTTCATAGAAATAAATAGGAAGTCTTACTTTTGGAGAGACCTTTGTAAGTTAAGCAGGGGAACTTTATGAAAATGAAATCTATTTGTTACTAATATTATGGTAGCATCTAGACATCAGGGCAAAGCACTGTCTCTGACCAGTAAGTTTTTCAAATAAGCACTCAAATCAAAGTCCAGTCTGTGTAGATGGAAGAAGCAGAGTTGATATGTCAGCAACATTATGTGATGTGCACATTTGTTTTCAACTGGCTTGATAGAGCCTTGTAAAGAACAAAATCTCCTGCATGAAATAAATTTCAGTCTTTATTGCCTAAAGCAAGAGAATGAGAGGAAAGGGTTAGAGCCAGATTTTGATGCTGCTTCACTTCCTATCGAGTTAGAGATTCATGGCTGTAGAATCTCTTCCCAAAATAAAGGGACTTCACAGGTACATCTGTGAAGCTAAAAAGTAAGTAAAGCATGTACAAGCTTAAAATAGCAAGACATAACATAATAGGTCACTGAATATAGTTTTTTTATTTGTTACATGGCTGTAACTGTCCGTGGCTGAAGGATTGGACTGTCCTTCAAGCAGTCCTTTCTCTTCCCAGTTCTCTGTTTGCTTTTACTGCATTCATCTAGCTGTTGCACTAGTGCCATTTCTGCAGCCTCATAGTTGCATACTGTGAGAAGGAACAGCTAAAATAATTTATTGGAGCAGATGCAATGAAAATTGGGGGATGAATGACTCCACATTTGTTTTCTTTCCTTCATTTGGCTGGGCACTTAAACTATGTGTGATTTCTTTTTCCTCAAATTTTTAACTTTTCTGCAGTCATTAAAAACAGAGACAAAGTAGACTATTTCCCCACAAAGTTTCCAGATTTGGGAGCACCAGTTTGTACAGAGAAATGCATTGATTCAGGGGGATTTCCATTAGCATTTTAGTCTCTTAACAGACAGTGAATCTAAGCAAACTTACCCTGAATGCCTTTGATCCTTTAGGAAATGCATTTAATCCATAAGGCACCTGCGTCCATGGTCTGCTTGCAGGAGCCTGACTCAGTTCTAGCCATTTGTTAATCCAGCCCTAGTGCCTATTTTTCCTGTTTGCAATAGTAGGCAAAGTATTGATTGGTCTTTACAAGAGGGTTAGACTCCATCCTGCAATTTGTACACAGTTTAGGCGTGGTTAAATAAATTCTCTCATTCTGGGACTAAAGCAGGTTTCTTGGCAATGATGGAATTTGTAGCTTAAGAAATGGTTGAGACTAGCTGAGGACTCTGGAGGTGCTCCTATTCCACTGCTGCATAACCAGAATATGCACCAGCTCTCTTATTTAATGGCTTATTTGGATCCATTCCCCTTCTAAGTTCAAGCACCCTCATCCTGCCATGCTTCCTTTAATGCTCATCTCTGTCTGTGACTTTTAACTCACTTTTCAGAATGATGTCAAGGGAGATTATAATTAAGAAGATGCTATAACCACCTAGAAATTTTTGCTCCCTCATCCCTCCATAATTTTCAAGTTTAAGGCTGTTTTATCTTCTATTACTCTTTCCCTTACACCTTTGTTTATTTTGGTCTTTCCTTTACTGATGAAGATTAATCTAATATGCTCAGGTTTTACTTGAAATATGATAATCTTCAAAGTCACAAATTTGTACCTACTAGGGTGGAGGGCAATAAACCTAGATAATGTGCTGGCCAAATAGAATTCTAATCCAGACTAATATTTCAAGTCTCTTCAGTTTATTGGGTGTTTGGAGCCACCATTCTGTACTGTCTGTTCTAAAGTCAGGAGCTTGCTGCAAACTTGGGGTCTCAACCTATTTGGCTTTTTATCCTTCCCTGAGGCTTAAAGGAGTTCTGCTTCAGGGTTTGGCTCAAGTGTGTCTATTAAGCATGCCTTGCCAGACTCTAATTAGACCTGCTACTTGAATGCTGAGTAGCTTTCTTCTGTTTACTATTTGTGTGGATTAAATTTGATAGATTTCAGTAGAAGAATATAAATGAAGTGACTGTCTAGCTCTGGATTTCTTCCATCTTCCCTTGATGCACTAATAAGAATCAATTGCAGTTGCTTATTATTTTTAAGTAGCAGTTAATTTGAGAAAACCTGATTCATTAGCTCTTTTCATTTTGCTGATTTGATTTCAGCCTTCTGCCCATCTGGGCCAACCTACATAGATGGTTCTAAAACCAGAGTGAAAACATCACTGAAATTGAAGAGACAGCCTGACGACCCAGCAAGGTGCTGTCTGTAACAGCAGGCTCTAAACCTCTGTTCTTATGGGTATAATTCCCAATAAAAGGAGAGGTATTATTCTGCATTCATTCTCCCATTCAAGCATTTGATTCTCTGTATGTTCAAATCTGGGAACAGTGTGTATGACTGCATAGCTGCATAGATAAATTACTTCCTGAGTAGATCAGTTATCCTCTCTGGGGATGTTCCAGAAAATCCCACTCTCACCATAGGAACTGTACAATTAATCTCCATGGTCGCATGATGCTTCTAGAAACATCCTTATGGTCAGTGTCCTGTATCTGTACAAATCCGTACAAATTGAAGTTAATAAAGAATCCTGATTTAGGATTGTATTCTAAGCTTGTAAGCTCTTTAGGTTAGGGCTAATATCTTCCTGCAATTATTAAAATATATATAAATATGTACTTTTAAGATGTATAGCTTTGCAGAAGTGCCTACGGTATTTATTTAAAAAAAGAGAGTGGTTCAGAACCTGGTAGGAGACATAGGGTTGTCTTAGCCCTGGATGCAGGAGAAGGTGTCACCACGGCAGTTTCTACAGGTGTACTGTTGTGTGACATGGGGAAGAAAAGGGTGTATTCCTCTGTTCTGAATTAAGGGGCAGAAAAGGATGACTATCTCTTAGTGGTCTCCCTGCATTTAAATCTAGGCTGATTCCTATTCATAGCTTTTAAATTTTTTTTTTTCACATCATAGCAAAAAGACAGTATAATACAGTGAAAGACACCGGATGGTTCTATGTGGATGAAACATTGCTTTTTTTCATTATACAAACAGAGGGAAGTTAAAACGTTATTTGTAGAGGATGAAGGTGAACTTTGCTCATGATTTTATGAACTTCTTTATTGCACAGTTCTCTTTGTGCAAATAGCCCTTGACACTCTCTTGCCTTTTGTTATTTCCAGCAGATTGGAGTCATTTGTTTGTTTCAGCTGAAGTGTGACAAAGCAGCAGGTGAGAGCTAAAAAGAATCAAGATCACTTTCACGTTTTGTGCAAATATTTAGAGGGACTTCTGAAGTTCTGTTATATTCAATTACTTTACTTCCTACCTCCTTTTCCCTTGAATATTAGTTTGCGTTTTTGCAAAATGTTCCAAAAGTGGAGCTGGTAGCTGGACTAAGCTAAGGCTGTGGGTTCACTTTAACACTCGTGCTGACTGAAGATGTCACCCTGGAACAGCTACTCACTACTGATCTTCCGCTGGGGATTTCTGCCCTCTCTCAGCAGGAAGAATAGCGTGGACTCTGCAGTTTTCTGCTTCAAAATCAGCCTGAAAATCAGGATTAACTACATGGTATTTTCTGAAAAGAAAGAAAGGTGATTGAAGTGAATCCACTAACAAGGAGGGAGGGAAGCAGAGGGAGCTCTGGTGGCCATGGATGACAAACAGCACAGGTCAGTGGTATCTTCAACTACACGACTACATTTGGAAGAAGAGATCTGTGCACAGCCTAGCTCAGCCTCTGGCTTTACCCACAGAATTATTAAACTTGCAGAAATAAATATTGCATTAGGTTTTTGGAAAAGTATAAATGATCTCAAATCAATCAATGCAATGCCATCAGTCTGGCTTGAGGATCTGTGTTTCTGACTGCCTGCATTTATCTGCCTTTGACTAGTCCAGCATTGACATCTGTGTCTCTTCTTCACCTATTTTGAGTTCTCACTTGTGCCTGATTGTGACCATTCTTGTTCAATCACT